ATCACGCAGGCCACTGCGGTTGCCAAGACGAACAGGGCACTCCGTACAAAGACTACTGCTACGGGTGAATTTCATTATAAAGAAGGAGATCTCGTGGACTATCACCGTCCGACCACCACGAAAGACGACTGGGGTGGATGGAGTGGTCCATACCCGGTCGTCCGCAACGAACCCGACCGAGGCCAGGTCATTGTGAAGGTCGGCAACCGCGAAGTGCGAGTACAGTATCCTGACACACGACACACACTGTACATCGAAGCACTTATGGTCCGCGAGATAGGATCGGACAATACGGCCCTTCGAACAGTATTGGCCTTTATTGCCGGTCTGCCAGCGGGGAAACCCGCCATGACTTTTGGATATCTACCAACGAAACAGGGTCGGCTGCAGATGACTGCTGCAAGCCGACTGTCACCTAAGGTGCACTTGGCTCTTCAGTACCTCATACGCAACTACTTTCGTATTGAAAACGTTGTTGCTGTACGACTCGCCAAGAGCTTGACGAAGCTGCCTGCCGCACCCTATGCAGACAGCTGTACACTAGTGCACTATGATAACGATGTGACCCCTGGGTTTCATTACTATGAAGCTGATGGCACTGCCTTGAACATCTATGACATCACAGGATCTACACACTCACGCATCATCCAGTGTCTTAAATCCAGGAAGCCGTCTGCTGGGTTTGACCAAGATCTCACTAAGTTTGAGGAACTCGCTGATGGTCCACCACCAAGCGAATCACCTCCAGCAGCTGCTCCTGAGGAGCCTCCTACGGACAACGATGGTCGGCTCCCGACCATCATAGAGGAGACAGAAGAGGATCTGGATGCTTTTGTCTTGAAGTCGTGGTATGCTGAACTGATGGATGACAGAACACTCCTTGAAGCTGACACAGAGGAAGTCATGCATACAGTTCCTACATACATGACAGACACACAGTGTGTATTAGTCTCTACGACCTGTGAAGATGTGCAAGGCCACTTGCCGGAGCGGGGTCACCCGCCAGGATACGACATGGACACTTCTTACTACGTTCCTTTATGCTCCACGGAACCGGATAGCAAATATGATCTGGACTCCGATGAGCACGGGAAGTATATCGAGCTCTGCTTCACAGCAGACATGTCCAAAGTCGTCCTGTCCGAGCAGCAACACCGACTGTTGGATGACAGCAGCGTCACAACTATGCGAGTATACGTTAGCGCTGCCTCCAAACGTGCCGTGGTCGTCAAGGAAGACGATCTACTCACGAAGGCCGACATCCAAGCAAATCCGGTCAAAGTTTCCAAAGCCCTCTACACAGAGCTGAAGACTTGGCTTGACAACAAATGCTTCCAGATGACTGACTTAAGCAAGGCGTCTAACATCATGACGTCACGCTACGTATACAAATGGAAGTTTGTCAAGAACGAAAAGGGCGAAATGGAAAGGACGATCCGGTTACGCTTGGTACTCCGTGGCTTCATGGACCTCGAAGCCTTTGACGTCGAAACCTTCTCTGGCACGGCAAGGAGGTCAAGCCAGAGACTGCTCGCAAGTTCTGCTGCATGCAACAAAGCTTGGATCATCGCTTCCCTGGACATCAACATGGCTTTCTTGAAGGGACTGACCTATGGCGAGCTCGCCGCGGCAACGGGCGAGAAAGAACGTGTGGTGTGTTTCACACTACCACCTGGTCAGCAGCTGTCCTTCGCACACTGCCAGGCTTTGAGTCATATGACGAATCAAAGCATTGTCTCCGGTGTCTGAAACCGGGGACAGGCACGAAGGATGCTCCCAGGGCATTCTCGCTGAAGCTCAGGTCCATCACTAGGAGCTTTGGGCTACAGCCTACTTCATACGACGAAGAATTCGAGATGAGCCCAAACCTCTTGACAGCCAAGCACGTTGATGACATCAATATGACTGGGAAGGAAGAGGCTATCGACAAGTATGTCAAGTGTGTTGAAGATACGTTTGGGAAGTGCAAACTGAACAAGCACACATACACGAACTGTGCTGTCCGGTACAACAAGACCGATGATGGGAGCGTCACTCTCGACCAGGACGAATACATCAAACAGCTTCGTCCTATCACACATCCAGAACTCACAGGAGCTGATCCTGAAAGCAAGGCGACGAAGACGATTTCTGATATGTTCGTCAGTCTTCGTGGCGCTCTAGCCTATGCGTTGATCACGCAGGTATGGCTAATGGTCTATGTTGTCTCACTACAACGTATCCAAGAACCGACAAACATCCAGGTACGACGACTAAACGCGGTTACCAGAAAATTGCAGGCAGGCCCGAAGAAGATCGTGTATCATGCTATGACTCCAACAGGAGAAGTCGACCTGCATAGCGATTCTGGCTATCGTCGTCTCAACGGAGATGAAGACGACGAAGTCAAAGGCTATGGTATCCGCGGGGCTAACCTGCTGAGGCGTGGCCACACGCAAGCGGGGAAACCCGTCGTGCACCTGGTGGACGCATACTGCAAGTCTCATCGACTGCAGGTGCGTTCGAGCTACTCTGCGGAAACACTGGCAGCAGCCCACAACTTGGAAGACTGCTACCCGACCATTGTAACGCTCCACGAGCTACACTCGGGACCATTGACCCCCACACAGTTGAAGAACATATTGGAATGGGTGGTCTATGTATCAAAGTCACTCTGACTATTGATGCCGAGTCTGTCTTCAAATCTTTGTCTAGCAAGGATCTGAAGAAGCCCACAGAGTGTACTCTGCTTGGGCACATCAGCTGGATTCGCCAGATGATGGAACGTGGAATCGTGGAAAGCGTCCAATGGTGTGACACGCGGGATATGACTGCCGATGGTCATACCAAAGGTAGCATTGACCGCGCGTTGCTCCTACAAGTAATGGCCGGCCAGCAATCCTTCAAGCACGAGCTGAAGAAACATACGCCGTATAGGGCGGGCAGGTCGTCTCAGGACGGCCCTGCCTCCCGAGCCAGCGGGGAAACCCGCGGGCAGGTGCGCTTTAGCAGCGAGGAAACTCGCCGGTAGCGAGGCTACTCGCGCGCCCTTTCCTTGTAGGCAGCCGCTGCTGCTTAGCACTGTTTTTCCGCATAATAGAAGTGCGGTACCTGCTCGTCTCCTCCCCCTCCGACTTTAAACGGAGAAGGTTAAAGGCGAGGTATAAATCGAGCATGTACCGCTGCCGTGCCTGGCTCAAGCCGGGCCCGGCCAGATATGTGACTGTGCCTCACTGAGGCGCACTACTTGCATCCGAGATCGGAAAACATCCTTTTCCATTGACGATGCCCATCCTACTCTTTACTCCAGATCCCATGCTTCGTCTCGCTCTCTTGCTCATGCGCTATGAGCCTAAGCCTGGGATATGGAAGCGCCTAAGGCGGACTGTATACCTAAGCTTACCAGCTTGTTTTCGACTGGGGGGAGGCGGCGGGGTCAAGACACCCGCCTAGATGGCAAACCGTCTAGCTCACTCCCGCCACGCCTTCCCGACGCAAAAGTAGTACCCGAGCCTCAGCATGTTCAGCTCTCGTCTTTGGATGGGCAGCTGGGAAACAACACTGGCCCCATGTGCGCGACGCTGGGGCTCGAGCCTGCCAGGCACGTCTAGTGCACCAAATGCGCCACGTGCTCCACGTGCGCCAGGTGTGCTGCATACTCCAGCCGCGCCAGGTGCGCTATGTTCGGGGCGCGCGCAGAGTGTGCCAGGTGCGCCTGCGCACGTGACAACACACATCGGGAATCATGTCGGCCCCCACCATCTTTGTAGAAAACCAACGCCCATCATTGTGTCTGGTGGGCCTGCGCACAGCAGACCTTGCGCCCAAACCCAACCCCCGCCGTCCTTGTCAAATACCACTTCGCAGTGGTCGCGGGGTGGTTGTGCAGGAGCCAGATTTTTCCGCGAGGTGATTTGCGTATTGTTTTTGATAAGGATGGTGGCCCTGCGCACAGCAGACAATATGTCGACACCCCCGCCCTCCCAGTCAACAGAAACATACACACTGGTCGCGGGCCTTCCGAACAGGATTTAAGACTTTGCCAAAAAGGTGTATTTTGTATTGTTTTTGACGGGGATGGGGGGGTCGCATCGGATTGGTTGCGCATGATCCGAATGTGGAGGCAGCGTGCGTTTTGGAGGCATCGTGCGTTTTTCAATTGTTTTTTGACAGGGATGGTGGGGGTGGGGTGGGAGTGATCATGGTGTCCTCATTGTTCCTGGTTGGGAGCAGCGATAACACTAATATGGGACAGTGATAAACACCTCCCCCGAGCAGGGGAAGGAGGGGTTGTGGCAGAGAACTTAGAACAACTCGTCAAACCACTCAGCCCAGAGGGCTGGTGGAATTTCTCCACGCCGACGTCGCCGATGCACCGCCGACGTCGTCGATGCATCGCCGATGCATCGCATTCGGCGAGATCCTCCGACCCCATCAGCTTGGACCCCATTCTAGCTTGCGCCGCCGGCCCCCTGGCAGCCCCTCCCTTCCCGCCCCCAGCGCACTCCGCGCACCATGGAACGTACACCTGCGCCGACCTGAGAATGTAGCTCCGCGCGTGTTCCCGACAGCTTGCGTGTGTCCCGATGACTCCGACGTTTAGATTGTTCACAACGCGGACCTTCGGAGTTTTGGACCCCTTCTCCAGGCCGGCTTTTCATCATGGGTCGCTTTAGACGGTCCCTGGGCCCAGTGATGGCCCCCGGAGGCCATAATCGGCCAAAAGTACGTCGTCGCTATATTTTTTCACGACGAGAGGACATGTGAGTCAGGGCCGATGCTTAGGGAACAAACAATTACATAACCATGCTATGACATTTAGGAGATTCGCGCGAATTGCTCGGATCGGCGCTGGACCCCACTTCCCTTGCGCGCGGAGCGTGCCAGGGGCGGCGCCAGAGGCACCGCTAGGGGCGAGGAATTCGCAGGGACGCTCGAGTTGTTATGGCGATTGTCATTGTTTGTTCCCCTGGGTGACTGCGCCCCCAAGGCTTGGCATACCCTGCCACCTGGCCTTCACCATGCCCTGGACGGCGACCGCCGAGGCGGGCGCACCCTCGAGAGGAGCGGCGGGGGGATCCGAGGCCCTCTGGGCACCCGCCTCTGCCGGGCCCGCCAGGGGACCGCTGGAGGCCTGCCTGGATCGGAGAACCCGGGTTATCGCCGAGGAGTGCCCTCGACCTCCACCTTCCACACCTTCCGCGAGGCAGATGCCGCGCAGTGGCCGCAATAGCGGTCGCCGTCGAGGCCGCAGCGGCGGTCTCGGCGGCGGTCGAGGCCGCGCCGCGACGGCACCTGCGGCGCGGAAGGCTCGGAAGGTAGAGGTCGAGGGGAGACCCTCGTCACCACCGCTGGATTTGCTTCAAAATTACGGTCGGAGCGCACCCTGGGAGAGGCTCGGGGAGTAACGGTATCGGTACTGGTTTCCCCCGTACAGAATGATCTCTACACGTCTAAAGGGCTGATTCCCAGATGCTCCTGTTCGGCCTGGTCGGTTGCGCCGTGCTGCTTAGGAATGGTTAATCCCCACACGGCGTTGGCGCGAATCGTGACGTGACCAGGGGTGGCAATACCGCGAGACTGTCTTGTTCAGGGTCAAGCGATCGCCCGGGTTATCGGGCCCGCCCGCCTCCACACCTGGCTAAAGTGGCTTTGTCGGTTGCGCCGGGTCCCAGAATGGGATTGGTCTTGAAACCTGTTCCTTCTCCCCAGTCTCCCTCACGCTGGAAAGTCTAGAACATTTGATGTGGGTTGCCCTCTGTCTTCAGTACGAGGCCTGAGATCTCCACGACAAGGCTATGCTGACCCGATTGCGTTAGCACTGCGGATTGAGCGGACCGTTTGACTTCGGCCTGCTGGAGCTCCACTCGGCGGAACAGCACGTACGTATGGAGCTGGGTCTTTGGGCCCAGACGGCTTCCCCTCCTCCTCCTCCTCCTCCTCCTCCTCCTCCTCCTCCTCCTCCTCCTGCTCCTCCCCTGTCTCCCCCTCCTGCTTCTCCTCCTCCTCATGCTCCTCCTCCTCCTCCTCCTTGTCCTCCCCCCGCTCCTCCTCATGTCGGCGCTGTCGCGCGGCGAGTGCCGAGGAAAACAACGTTGCACCTCGCAATTGCGCATAAGAGTGATGGGGGGGTGCGGGCGAAGCGGGTGTTGAGCCGGCGGACCTCGTGGCCCCCTTTTACCTGTCGTTGGCGCTCCTTCGGGTTGCTGCAGGTTTCGCTCGTCAAAATCCTTCTCTTCCTCCCTTTTCATCCTCCGCCTGCTCCTGTCCCCCCTGGCTTGCCCCCCTGGCCCCCCTTGCCTCCCATGCTCCGCATCCTTCTCGTCCTCCTCCCCTCTTTCTTACGCTAGACCAACCGAAGATTACCCTGTGGCGTCAGTGGAAAAAAACAGGTGTACTCGACTCGGCTCAAGAAAAAAGGACCTGGCGGGCGCCGCGGTCAACGTGGGAAGACGAGACCAGGAAAAGAGTAGACAATTGAGTAGGCGCCCGCCAGGTCCGTGAAGAAAGGGCAGCTCTGGTACTTTGGTAAGTGCACGCCTCCTTCCCAGGTTATCCAACTTCATCTCATCGTATATGGGGTACACGCTGCGGAAAAAGTGTACTGCTGCAGGAAAAAGTGCTGCTGAGCGTGTGCACCCTGACCGTACACGTGGGCAGATTGCTCACGTGTACGTCTAGCGAACGCAAGTGGCCAAAATAAGTGCTCGATCTGTCGGCAGGGTTTTTTTGGTTGACCCTAAACCTTGAGTGTGAGGGAGGTGTGCCACAAGCACGGCGATGTATATCGGATCATAGGTGCGGAGTATGGGCAAGGAGAGAGCGACAGGGTTTTACGGTTGACGCCGAACCGTAACAATTAAGAGCCGTGAGGCAGCGATGTGTAACGGCCGAATAAAAAGAACCCGAGCTGTGGGCAGGGGGTTCTGGTTGACCCCAATTGAATCTTAGAGAGACGTACCACAGGCATGTCGAGAAAACGGGAGGGCAGATGCAGCATTCGTAGGATAAGGGGGCCACGAGGGCATCTGAAAAAAGGATCGCCTGCATGCAATGGCCTGCGCAACTGTTATGCTGATTTTTTGGTCGACCTCAAACCGTAGCAACGATAAGCAATGATGCAGTAACACATGGCGAAGAGTATGCCCTATCGGTGGGCAGGCGTTTCTTGTTGACCCCGGACCTTGAATCAGTGAGCGGTGTACCACAAGCGTGTCGATAAGCATAGGTATGATCATCAAGGGAGGGTGTATCGTAGGTTTTTTCTGATTGGCCCCGAACCGTAGCAGACGGGAGCAGTGAGGCAGCGATGCGTATTGGGCGAGAAAATGAGAGCCCGAGCTGTGGGCTGGGGTTTCTGGTTGACCTCGAACCTTGTATGTGATTCTCCTTCTCCTTCTCTAGAGCCCACCCAATTCTTTGTATATTTGGTACACGCTGCGGACAAAAGTTACTGCTGCAAAAGAAATGCTGCTGAGCGTGTGCACCCTGGCCGTACACGTTGGCAGATTGCTCACGTGTGCGTCTATCGACGCAAGTGGCCAAAATAAGTGCTCCATCTGTCGGCAGGGGTTTTTGGTTTACCCTAAACCTTGAGTGTGAGGGGGGGTGTACCGCAAGCACGGCGATGTATAACGTCCTCTTCGGATCATAAGTGAGGAGTATGGCCAACGAGAGAGCGGCAGGGTTTTACGGTTGATCCCGAACCGTAGCAATCAAGAGCCGTGAGGCAGTCATGTGTGACGGCCGGCTATAAAAAGAAAGCCTGAGCTGTGAGCAGGGGTTTCTGGTTGACCCCCAACCTTCAATCTCAGAGAGACGTCTCACAGGCATGTCGAGAAATCGTGAGGGTAGAGGCATCATCAGTATAAGCATAGGTATGTCAACAAGGGAGGGTGTATCGTAGGGTGTTCTGGTTGACCCCGAACCGTCCTCCTCCTCCTCCTCATCATCATCATCCTCCTCATGCACCTCGTCCTCCTCCTCATCCTCCTCTTCCTCCTCCTCCTCCTCCTCCTCCTCCTCCTCCTCCTCCTCCTCCTCCTCCTCCTCCCCCTCGTCCTCGTCCTCGTCCTCGTCCTCGTCCTCCTCCTCCACGTGCACCTCCTCCTCCTGCTCCTGCTTCTGCTCCTGCTCCTTCTCCTGCTCCTGTTCCTGTTCCTTCTCCTCTTCTCGCACCATCCTCCCCCATTGTCGTCCTATTCCTCCTCGTCGTCCTCCTCATCTGCCTCACCCTCCCGAATGTTCCCCCTCCTCCTTTACGTCCCCCTCCTCCTCCAACTGCTCCAATTTGCCATTTTGCCCTCCTTGTTGTCTTCCTCATTCAGGAGAAGCGCCATACTATTCCATACTACTATTCCTCGTTGTCATTGTCGTCCTCCTCCTCCACTTCCTCCTCCTCCTCGTCCTCCTCCTCCTCCTCCTCCTCCTCGCACCTCTTCGTTTGCCTGCTCCTCCTCCTCCTCCTCGTCCTCCTTCTCTGGCTCACCCTCCTTCCCTCCTCATCCGCCTCCTTCCTCCTCCCCGGTGTACTCCTCCTGCTCATACTCCTCCACCTCCTCACGCTTCGTGCCCCTCGTACCCCCTCCCTTTTGGAAGATAAAGGCCACCCACTCCTGGATTCCAGAGTGTCGTTCCCCACTTCCCTGACCAAGGCAACTCGCTTAGGCAACGTTGCTGGATGTGCTGGTGGGAATGCGCGGAGTTTGAAAACGCAAATGTACACATTGAGAATTCCCCTAATGCAGAATCCGCCGCCGGTACGGCAGTGGCGTGGTAAAGTGCCTGTGGAATCTCTGGGAGGGCTCGTAGAAACCCTCCTGCGGAGGCTTCTTTTTCTCAGCTGCGGGCACCTTGAGGCACCCTCCCCTAAGCCCCCTGGCTTGGGCACGGCGGCGGAATTACCAGAGGCAGGTCGATATGTGATGTGCGCGCGCGGGCGCTTCCCCAAACCAACGCATGTCAGCGCGCCGAAGGCGCCAATAAGCGCACCCTCAGAATCAGCATGAGGTCGAACGCGGGTAGGACGTGGGAAGTGTGCGCAATTGCGCTCTCCCTCCAACCGAATGCAGAAGAAACCCGCCGCAGGTGCAGATTTTGGCGTGGCAGTGCGCGCGATGGTGCTCTACCTCCCGAGCGAGCGCAAAACAGCTCGCCGAAGGCGCCGATTGCGGCATGGTGTGCGATGGCAGTGGTGTGGGTGTCGGGCGGGTGGCGTGGTGGGTCGCGTGTCGCGGGTGTGTCGTCGGTGGGTCGCGGGTGGTGCGCGGGTTGGTCGCGGGTGGGTCGCGCGTGGGTCGCCGGTCGCGGGTGGGTCGCGGGTGGGTCGCGGGTGGGTCGCGGGTGGGTCGCGGGGTGGGTCGCAGGTGGGTAGCGTGGTGTGTCGCGGATGGGTCGCGCGTCTCGGGGTGGGTCGTGGGTGGGCCGCGGGTCGCGGTGTGGGTCGCGGGTGGGGCGCGGGTGGGTCGCGGGTGGGTCGCGGGTGGGTCGCGGGGTGGTCGCGGGGTGGGTCGCGGGTGGGTCGCGGGTGGGTCGCGGGTGGGTCGCGGGGTGGGTCGCAGGTGGGTTGCGGGGCGTGTCGCGGGTGGGACGGCGCCAAGTAACAAAAACAAGCAAGCAAACGAAACACGCAATCAATCAATCAATCAAGCAATCAACCAATCAATCAATCAATAAGCAATAACAGCAACAACAACAGCAGCAGCAACGACAACAGCACAACAACACCACCAACAACAACAACAGCACCACCACCACCAACAACAACTACGAGAATCCGCATCTCGGAATCCCACTTCAGCCACGCACCCAGGAACAGTAAATGACCGTTCGGCCCCCGCTTTCTGATGATAAGTTGCCCCCGATTGGTGGGACCTCAGTCCTTCAATAAGGCCGCCGGACACAAATCAGTTTCCCCCTACTGGGGCGGGGGGTTCTAGAGACTTCTCGCATGCACGCGGGCACGCGCATGCACGCGGGCACGCGTGGGGCTGCGCCGAGCGAAAAGGTTGGCTCAAGCCATTTCTGATCGAGGATTGCCTTTTGGCCGTACACTCCTTGCACTAACCTGTTCCCAAGTACACGCAAGTGATTTTTTTCCTTTATTCGCTCTGTGGCATGGCAGCCCTCAAGGCGCCATGGACCGTGTTTGTGACGGCACTCTTTGCCTCCCACATGCCCGCAGCGGTCTCTCTCAAGACGGTGTCCCGTGCCAACACGACGAAGACATGGGTGCAGTTGCTGGACAATTTGGAATATTACGGCGAGCGGATGCCCTCATATGCGACACCACTGAATTACGGTTCTTCCACGCAGTTAAAAGCTGTGTACCAAAGTGGAAGCGGCATCTATTGCGATACGAAGAGGTCGGGTGGCACCGTCTGGCAACAGTGTTGTTGTGGGTTAAATTCGTTCGAGGCCATGAAGAATGGAGGGTACATCGTGTCACAATCCAATTGGCACACGTTGCCTTCCAATTGCTACACGTCCGGATCGACCGAAATCATCTGCAATGTCAATTTCGACATATCAAGCGGCGATACGATTCTCGCCACGTGGTACGAGCCTTCCCGCTCAATGTCGCTCCAGGACAATGGCGGCAGCATCCAAGTGGACTTGTACGGCTATGGGACGGCAACGGATCCTACCTTCCGACGCCCTACCCGACGGCTTTCCCGACGCCCTTCCCGACGCCCTTCCCGTCGGCCTTCCCGACGTCTTTCCCGACGCCCACCCCGACGCCCAGCCCGACGTATCCTCCAGGTTGGCCGACGCCACATCCGACGTTCCCTCCTGCAGCTCCAGCTGCGGCCGGAGCTGGCGGAAACGTGGCTGCCACTGGTGACCCCCACCTTCAAAACGTCCTTGGCGAGCGGTTTGATTTGATGAAGCCGGGCAAACATGTTCTGATCACCATCCCTCGTGGAATGAGCGCTGAAGACTCGTTGCTTCGTGTGCAAGCCGATGCGTGCCATTTGGGTGGAAGTTGCGCGGAACTGTATTTCCAAGAAGTGAACGTTACAGGTTCTTGGGCAGAAGCCAAACAAGTTGGAGGGTACCGCCACAGCGCATCGCAAATTACGTTCGAGGCTCCGCCATGGATTGCGTTTGGTTCGGTCCAGTTGAAAGTCGCGCATGGACGTACGGATCGTGGCCTCCCGTATCTGAATGTGTACGTGAAACATTTGGGGCTAGCAGGATTTGCTGTGGGAGGTCTGCTGGGAGAAGACGACCACAAAGACGTAATGATTCCCACAGCGGCTTGCATTAAGCATACGTCTCTATCCTCGAAGGGCGCGATCGTCCAGGCTTCTTCCTCCGTGTCGTCAGTTGCATTTGCAACCCTCGAGTGATCATGCGGGGCGCGTCGGAAGATGTGCACTGTCAAGACGCCGAAGTAAATAGCGTCGGAGGGGCTTGCTGTTCTTTAGACCCTTCGCCCATTCGGGCGCGCCGCGTCCACTCAGGCGCTCTTAGGGCCAGCGCGGCCTTTTCATTCGGCGTATGCGCCGTCGCTTGCATCCACTGGGCGTAGGCACTCCAGGCAGTTACGCCACTGCGAGCCATGCGAGCAGCTCGAATATTCTGAGAAGCTTGACGAGGTCCATCTTTTAAAAAAGTTCTCGCCTGGTCCACGCCAAAATCGGATAACCCGGGTTGTCGCCGAAGAAGACAACCATTGCTACATGCGGGGGGATCCAGGATTGCAAGGCAGTTGCCCCAGAGAGCCCCTAATCTGCAATTGCGGGCTAAGCGTTGCACAAAAGGTGTACGTTCCTTCAGCCCCGCGTTCATTGCCCCACTTTGAGTTCGGTAGCAAATCGTGGGAGCCTTGTGTACTACTTTCGCATTTCCGTCGTCAGAATACTCAAGCTTTTGCTCGCGTCTTGTAGTCGATGAGATAGCGGCCGTTCAGTATCGATGGGCGTCGATTGGCGTCGAGTCGCGCCGATGGGAGGCCCCCGTGAGTTGCCGCAGAACTCTGGCCCAGCGTTCGGAGGCAGCGGCGGCCCTCTCTCTCTCTGTCTCTCTCTCTCTCTCGTTTTCCCGTCCGTCTTGGACCGCCCGGGTGTTCTCTCGTCGCCGCGGCTGGGCCCGCCTTCGGGGAGCGGGTCAGGGCGGACCCCCGTGCAGGTCTCTGGGCCGCTCTTGAGCGGGCCTGGGCCGGGCGGGAGAGCCGCCGTGGTCTCTGCTGGCCTCTGAGCTCCCGCGGGTCGGTCCAGCTCGAGGACGGCCGCGGGAGGGAGCGGGGGCCGAGAGTCCTCTGGCGGCGGCCTCTCCACGACGTTGCCGCGGTTTTGCCGCCGCCTCGGATGTCAGGGCTCGTCGTCGTCGTCGTCGTCGTCGTCGTCGTCGTCGTCGTCGTCGTCGTCCGTCGTCCGTCGTCCGTCGTCCGTCGTCCGTCGTCCGTCGTCCGTCGTCCGTCGTCCGTCGTCCGTCGTCGACGTCGTGCCTTTGCGTGGCACGTCCTCCTGCCAGAGGTGCCACACCGTGCCGTCCTCTTCCGTGCCGTCCTCTTTCTCTTGGGCGGACTCCGGCGGGCCAGGGGGGGGAGGGCGACAAGGGGACGACGAGGGGAGGGCGGAGGCGACGAGGGGGGGGGCGGAGACGAGCAGTGTGTTCCAAAAGAGGGCCTCGCGTTCGGCTCCTCTTCGCCCCCTCGACAAGGGGGACGACGAGGGGAGGGCGGAGGCGACGAGGGGGGGGCGGAGAAGAGCAGGGTGCTCCGAAAGAGGGCCTCGCTTTCTCGCTCCCCTTCGCCCCCTCGGCGGGTCTGCCAGCGGCAGGCCGGCGGGAGCAGAGCGGCGGCGGGGTCTGCCGCCGGAAGGTCGGCGGAAGGCGGGGGAAGGACCACAGCCCTCGCCTTCCTCCCCCGCCTCCCCCTCCTCCCCTCCTCCTCCCCCTCCTCTCCTTCCTCCCCCCTCCTCTCCCTCCTCCCCCGCCTCCCGCCTCCTCCCCCTCCTCCCCCGCCTCCCCCGCCTCCCCTTCCCTCCCCTCCTCCCCCTCCTCCCCCCCTCCTCCCCCGCCTCCCCTCCCCCCCCCCCTTCCTCCCCATCCTCCCTCTCCTCCCCCTCCTCCGGGACGGTCGGGGACGGGGGCGGTCAGTGCCAGCTACGGGGACGGTCGGGGGAGGGGCTGGGGGCGGTCAGGGACAGCTACGGGCTCGCGCCTCGGAAGCTCAAACTGGAGTTACCCCGGACCGCAGTTACCCCGGATCACTCGGGCGGCCAACCCTCCCGAGCCATCGGGGCTGGGGGCAGTCAGGGGTAGCGACGGGTTCGCGCTCCGGGGGCCCAAGCCGGAGTTACCCGGACCGCAGCCATCCTGAATGATTCGGGCGTTTGGAAGTAAAGGTGAGGCGTCAACCGGTTGTTCGGGGTTTCAGGGTGTCCAGAATAGGCCGGGCCTGTTCTCCTCCCGATCCGTCTCGCCCTCCGCTGTCTGTTCTCGTCCGCGCTCTCCGCTCGCCCTTGTCGATGCGTGATGCTGGAGTTTCAATCGTGACAGGCTTCGTTCCTGCTGCACCCGGGGAGCAGGGTGCGTTCGGCCGACACCGTGCTTGTCCCAGGCTCTGCGACAGGAAAGGAACGGGAGGGTGGAGGGGTCCGGAGGAGGAGGAGGAGGGACGAATAGAGGGAGCGGGGGATTTGTTGAACGTGTAAGCCAAATTGCACTGAACCCTTGGGCCACAGGCTGGGGAGGGGATTGTATCTCTCTCTATATATATAGAAGTATATATCACTCTTTCTCTTTATTTTTTTTTCTCTTTCTCTCTCACTCTCTTTCTCTTTCTCTTTTCATTTGTTTGTTCCCTCACTTTCTATCTTCTCTTTCTCTCTCTCTCTCTCCCTCTTCTTCTATACTTTTTTGTTGATTCTCTCTCTCTCTCTATTTCTTTCTCTGTCTGTCTGTCAGTCTGTCAGTTTATCTGTCTGTCTGTCTGTCTTTCTGTCCGTCCGTCCGTCCGTCCGTCCGTCCGTCCGTCCGTCCGTCTGTCTGTCTGTCTGTCTGTCTGTCTGTCTGTCTATCTGTCTGGTGTGTCTCTCCCTCTCTCTTCCTCTCTCTCTCTCTCGCTTCCCATTCGAGCCCGCTTTCGCCAGCAGGTCCAAAGAAGGAAGAGGAGACGGATCAGGACAGGCGGGGAGAGAAGCAGAAGGCTGAGGGGGAGCGCGACTCCAACGTCGTCTTACGACCCCTGCCTGAGTGTTTTTGTTGATTTCTGCATGTCTCCAGGTGGGCCACCCTCTGAGTGGGCCTTCCACTGCGCAGCGCAACGGCAACGCGTACTGGCACAAGGTGGCATGGTGGTTGGAAGGGGAGGGATCTAGAATGTTTGCGTACGTACCCGGTTCATGCGATTCTCTACCAGTCAGTTGGGCCTTTACAGTCAGCCTCGTCGGCCTCTCCTAGGCCCAGCATTGTGTGATATTCTGACGCTTCCCTTCTGGGGCACAACTGCGCCTTCGCCTTCCGCTTGCGACCCTGCGCTGGTCGAAATGTCGGTCGAGATCCGTCGTCTTCGAAACGTTTGCGTCGGTGACTTGGGGAGAACGCGCCGATGCCGGATTTCATTTGGTAGCCCAGGAGGGACCAGAAATCCCGCCGCCATGATTGGTTTGTGCGCGTGAGGCGCACTTCGTGAACATGTCGGGAGCGTCGTGGCTTGGTAGCATTGTCTTTGGGCTCTTGTGGTTCCTGGGTGCCCCTTGGGTCCTCTGGGGGCTCTGCTCGGTTTCTTGGGGGGCCTCTTCGGGGTTTCTGGGAGCCTCTTGGGGGCCTCTTGGGGGCCTCTTGGGGGCCTCTTGGGTCCTCTCGGAGTCCTCTTTGGGTCCTCCGGGGGGCCTTTGGGGGTCGTGGGTGCATGTTGTGAGGGGCGTTCCAGTGGTTTGGTGGTGGCGCACTTTTTGGACCCCGCTTGGGGCCGTCCCGGAGGCCTCCTCGGGCCCCTCCAGGGAGGCTCGGGGCCCGTCGTGGCGCTGTTGGGGACGTCTTGGGTTGTCTTCGACGCTCTTGAGACCGAGAAGGCGATCTTGCTTTAGGCAATACTGTTTTAACGATGCAGCCCCATGCTGCTCTTGAGTGATGTTGTCCAGTTGGGCCTGCCCCGAAAGCGTCGAAGACGCTCAGGATGCCCCCAAGAAATCCCCAGGACGGGCCTGTGGGCCATGGATGATGGATATGCCAGCAGTCAGAAGTCGTAGGATTCTGGTGGCAAGCGCGCATTGTGATGCGAGAAGGGCGACCTTGTCCTCGTGTCTTGCCGTCTCTCCGTTCTCTACCGCTTCCTTGTTCGCTGGCCAAAAGCGCGTAATGATGCAGACCTTCGACGTCGTCGTGGACGTCCCATGCGTACCACGCAAGTCGTTTTTTCAGAGTGTGGGGGCGAGGGGGGGGCCCGCCCAGGAGCTTGCCCGAAGGCTCCTCGGGGCTTGCCTGAGTCTGCCGGAGATCTCATGGCCATCTTGCAGGATCGTGCGGCCATGTGTGGAAGTCCTGGTGTAGTTTTGGAGGGCCCCGCGGCTGTCCAGCAGGCGTCTCGTGGGGCAGCCTTGTCTCGGTCCTCGGCGGTCTCTGAAGCGCTCTGGTGGCGGTCTTTTGAGGCCGTCTTGGGGGCCGTCATGGGGGGACTCCTTGCGCCGTCTTCGTGCCAACTTGGGGCCCTGTGGGCGCCGACACCCCGCCACTTGCGTGGAACCAGGGTCCTTGAAGCGAGTGCGAGCTCGCGGCATGTTTTCCGCTTTCTGTTGAAGTGGCGTGTGCCACCATTTTCGGCATGAGGTGGCATGCCCAGCGTGTCGCCCTTGAACCGTCTAACTTGGCCAGGTGAACCGCCGATTGGGAAACAACATCTTTGGGTCGCGTGGGGTCTCCCCTTGGGGTCCGCTCGAGGTTTCTCTGAAGGCGGCTTGCGGCCTCCAGAGGCGAAGAGCAATGGCAGGGAACACGTGTCGAGAAAGCGCTGCTCAGTGCGACGGAGCTCCGAAAGGGCCGCCTTGGGAAGCCTCCTGGGCGCCCCTTTCGGCGTTCTTGGGCACTGTGCGTGCTGGGGCTGCTGGCTGGGCCCCTGGGGACTCTCGGATACGCTGTAGACTCATGCCCCCCTTGTTTTCCATCTCTCCTCCTGCTCCTGCCTGTTTACGCTGCCTTCGACGGTCCCTGGCTCGGGGCCGACGCCGAAACTCCGACCCCATTACTGCGGGCCCTGACACACAGTGGGCTGTCTCCTTTTGTGAGAGTGGTCGAGAAGATTCAGTGGTCTGGTGGCTTCTCGAGTGGCTTCCCAGACATGCGATGTCTTGATTTTTTCATGACGGGATCCCCAGCAGTCCCGACCCTTTCCCCAAGACCGTTGTTGCGTCCTGAGTGTTTTTGTTGACGGTCGCGGGGCCCGGTGAGGGCCACCAGGGGGTCAAAACGCCCCCCCCGTCCTGATGTTTTTACGACGCAAGCATGGCTGGGTTCTGGTATTGGCGGGCCGTTGGTGGCTCACTCGGCTGAGGAGGAGGAGGAGGAGGAGGAGAAGGAATGCGAGGAGGAGGAGGAGGAGGAGGCGGAATAGAAGGAGGACGAGGAGGAGGCGACGAGGAGTAGGAGGGAGGAGGGAGGATCGAGAAGGAGGATCATGGATCGAGGAGGAGGAGGAGGATCAAGGATGCCCCCGCGGGGTCCTGCCGCCGCGCAAGATGTCGTACCGCTGGGTGGACAACCTGCAGTGGTCCCTCGGCAGGCTGGGGCCTTTCGTCAACGCGTTCCGCCGCGAGATCGGCCTGGCGCCCATCAGCAGGACGGGCCCCCGAGCACTCGCGGCCCAGACTGTCAGTGGGAGAAGGGGCGGGGCCCAGACATGCTCTCGTCGCGAACAAAAAATGACGGGAGGGTTTTGGACGCTCTCGTCCTCCGGGGGGACCTTACCTTGTGCCGGGACAGTCAAACGATTACCGAGGATGAAAAGTTGGTCCTGGGGGAAGGGTCGGGACTTCGGGGGACCCCGCATTGAACAAATCAAGACATCGCATGTCTGGGGAGGAAGTGCGGGAGGCCCGACAGGGCCAGAGGCTGCACCACGCTGACGCTCCAGCTGGTCGCCTGGAAGGCCACTGACCTTGGAAGCGTCTGCGGCCGGTCCGGGACACATGTCTTTTCGCTCTAGTTTCCTTCTCTCTGACGAGCCAGGGGGCGCTGATGCAGAAACGACGTCCTCGTGAGGAGGTCGATGTTCGACCTGTCCTTTTCCGTGTCGTTCTGCCATGCATGTGTCTCCCAGCACGCGCACGTTCCAAGCTGCTAGGAAACGAAACGAGGAGCATGATAATGGGGACGTCACGATTTCTTCGAGTAGGGCGTTTCGCCGGTGTTCGGGCCCGGGGAACCACCCTGGGTCGATCCGGCTTGAATAGCGGCGCAGCAAGATTGGGTTTGGTGTTGCGGTCGTGATTTGTCGTGTTGTTTCGATCTCTTCGCGACGTCGGATTTCATGGAGGGGGGGGACGAGGATAATGGTTTGAGGTGTTCGTTGCCCTTTTGAAGCATAGCCCCATTCTTGTGTTTTGGCACCACCTTGCCTCGGTGCCGATCTTAGGGATTCTTTCAGTTTCCGAGTGTACATTCCTGAGTTTGGTATTGCTTCTGGCGTGCCGGTCCTAGGGGTGAGGATAGGATCGGGTCTGGTTCGTCTGGACTCTTCCCTTGAGCCTCTGGGGGCTTCCCGGGGCCTGCGCAGGAGGCCTCGGAAGCCTCCTGCAGCGATCCCGGGAGAGTCTCGGAGACGGCAGGGGGGCCCGCGGGGCCAGGGCTCGCCCGCGCCGCGCTCCCGTGGACGCACCAAGAGGCCCCAAGTGACGCCCCAGGCAACGAACATCGTCGGCCACGCGCAGAGGGGGGTATGGGTGGGGGGGGCAAGGCTTCTTAGCAGCACCCCTGCTTCTGACAAGGTGCGGGCCTTCTCTATAGATGTGGGGCCGGCGCCTTCTAAGAACCAGCCTCCTTGAACGCAGCCTTTCCCCCCCCCTCTCCCTAGCCCCATAGCCCCTTGCTCGCGCCGCCAGTCAAAGGGTGGATGCTGGATTGCGGAAGAGAGTCCCAAGGCATCCCAGGAACGGCCTCAGGACCCCCCGAGACCGCCAGTGAGGGCCGATATGAGAGATGCCAGGCGGGTAACACGATCTGGCTTCTGGATAGTCCCCTGACGCCCGGGGGAGGAAGTGGCAATAGGGACGGGGTAGCAGGGGGAAGAACAGAGGGAGCAGCGGAGGAGGGATTGAGTATCGGAGGGGGAAGGAAGTGCTACGAGGGATGGCGGGATGAATCGGATAAAAAAGTGGCAGGGATGGACGAATGTAGGAGGTAGTAAGTAGGAGGGATAACGACGGATGGGGAAGGCTGCCGGCAGGATGCAGAGTCATTTGAGTGAGGAGTGTGGCGGGGAACACTGGAGGGCACAGCGACGACCGGGAAAGCGCGGGGGACGCGTTCTTTTCTGCACCGTGCACGTGTGCAACAGCCCACGTGTGTTCACACGAGCAAAGCAGCGCTCGCACGCGTCTTGACTGGCACGCGTGGCCGAGGGTGCTGCTCGGGAGTGGGCCGGCGGCGCGCACGAGGGGTCGGGGCGAGGGGCGCGGTCATTCAGAGGGCATGGGGGGCTCTCGGAGGAGTTCTCCGGCCTGGCAGACGTCGAAGAGGAGGCATCTGCACAGCAGAGACCTGCAGGTCTCCAAGTGGATCTCTTGGATTTGCGCTGGGCCTCCCTGAAGGCGCGTCCAGTGCCGCCCCTGGCGCTCTCCGCCAGCCAGGGGGGGGGGTGTCCAGCGCCGATCTTTGTGAAATCAGTGCGGACCTCCAGGAGCTTGTGCTCATGCCGTCCTATCTCCTTTGTCCCTCCTAAGAAAGCCCCCCCCTGCCTTCTTAAGGGGCCCACCCCTTTGCCCTGCCCTTCTTGGAGCGCCGCCAACACACAGAGGCGGCCCCGGGCGTGATCTGGGGAATCGGCAAGCAGACTTTCTGCAGGGCCGTCCTCCGCCTGTCCTCCCGAGTGAGACGATGCCGCAGGTTGGATGAGAGAGAGAGAGAGAGGTTAGAGAAATGACTGGAGAGAACGAGGAGGAGGAGGAGGAGGAGGAGGAGGAGGGGGAGGAGGGGGAGGAGGGGGAGGGGGAGGAGGGGGAGGAGGAGGAGTATTGCCACGAGCCTGACCACCTGGCGTGGGTGGTAGTTGGTTCATTGGTCGTCGCCTTCTTTTGCGGTGACCCAGTCCTTAGGAGGCGCGCAACCCTCGGACAGCCCCAGGGCCGGCCGGCTGGTGCCATTGTGCTCGCGTGGAGCGCTAGTGGCAGTCGCGGTTGCTGATCAGGTGTCCGAGGAGGAGGGAGGAAGGGGTGAGGCATGGAGCAGGAGACGCGTGGCGCTGCGGATCCGAAGTGAGGGCCCGACAGCACGGGTGCGCTGGGAATAATGGCGGCCCTTAGCGTCCAGTACGAGAACGCCCCGTCGCTCGTCGACGAGCTCCAGGCCCCTTCCGGTCCGGGCGGAGCAACAAAATAGCGACGGGCGGTCTTTCGACTCCCAGTCTCCCTCTGCCCCTCATCCCCTGCCTCGTCCCCCCTCACTGTCTTCGCCGCCCACGCCCCCCTCCCGTCACCAGCTGGTGTAGAATAGAGGAGCCTTCTGCGCTGAGGTGTACGTCAGGCTACCGGGGGGAATGGCCAGAGGATGAGAAGGATGAGGAGGAGATGGTGGGGTGATGACGACCAGCGATGACGGCGACGGCGACCGACGGCCGACGGCCGACGACGACGATGGTGGCGGTGGCAGGTGGTGGTGGTGATTGCGGCGGTCATGGTGACGGTGTCGAGGACGACAATGATAACGATGTTGACGCTACTGGCGATGTTGCTGCTGATGGTGATGATGGTGGTCATGATGAGAGTACCGAGGATGAGGAAGATGATGATAGTGCAGATAGTGCTGATGACGCCGACGATGATGATGATGTTGATGATGATGATGATGATGCTGCTGCTGCTGATGATGATGATGCTGATGATGATAATGATGATGTTCATGCTGATGGATGGTGATGGTGATGATGGTGACGACGACGACGACGATAACGGGCATGATGCTGCTGATGATGGTGATGATGGTTGTCATGATGAGAGTACCGATGATAAGGATGCTGATGGTAATGCTGATAGTGCTGATGGCGGTGATGATGGTGTTGATGTTGTTTCTGACGTCGACAGTGATGATGATGTCGTCGATGAGGATTTTGATAAAGAGGATGATGCTGCTGCTGCTGCTGATGATGATGATGATGATGATGATGATGTCAATGCTGATGGTGGTGCTGGTGATCACAGTGCCGACGACGATGACGACGAGGACGAGGATGCTGATGACGATACTGTTGATGATGTTTCTGATGATGCTGACGATGATGACGATGGCGAAAGCGATGGCAATGAAAATGATGATGCTGAGAATATTGCAATGATGATTCCCCCAATCAGAGCTTGCCTCTGTAGGGGTCCTAGCGGATTCATATGGTTAGGTTAGGTTTGCCGCCGATTTTCACCGCACGCCCAGGTGCCCGGATACCTGGGGGTGCCTGGGTGCCCGGGTGCCTGGGTGCCTGGGGGGTGCCCGGGGGTGCCCGGGTGCCCGGGTGCCCGGGTGCCCGGGTGTCCGGGCGTGCCCGGGGGTGCCCGGGCGTGCCCGGGGGTGCCCGGGCGTGCCCGGGGGTGCCCGGGCGTGCCCGGGGGTGCCCGGGGGTGCCCTAATAGCCCTATAGCCCAATAGCTCAATAGCCCTATAGCCCTACATCTCTATAGCCCTATAGCTCTACAGCCCTATAGCTCAATAGCCCTATATAGCCCCCTAGCCCTACAGCCCTGATTTGTTTGTTTCTCCGGTATCATGCTGATGATATTGATGATCATGATGATGAGGAGGACGAGGAGGATGAGAATGATGAGGATGACAATGACGATGATGCTGATGAGGATGATGCTGATGCTGCTGCTGATGATGCTAATGCTGATTATGATGATGATGATGATGATGATGATGATGATGATGGTGATGATGATACTGACGATGATGACGAAACTGATGAGAATGATGATGCTGTTGATTATGCTGCTGATGATGATGCTGGTGAGTATGATGATGCTGATGATGCTGCTGATGCTGATAGTGTTGATGGTGATGATGCTTCTGATGATGCTGCTGCTGATGTTGATGCTGCGGTTGATAGTGATGCTGCTTTGATGATGGTGCTGATGATGATGAACGCGATGACGAGGACGTCGACGATGTTGACGATGTTGTAAACAAGAGTTGTGATGCTGTCGCCGTTGCCGATGAGGATAGTTGTGACGATTATGGCGGCGATGCTGGTGATGATGGTGGTGAGGACGGTGGTATCGTTGATGATGATGCGGATGACGATGATGACGATGATGATGATGACGATGATGCTGCTGGTCATGATGATGATGCTGATGCTGATGCTGATGCTGATTATGATGATGATGATGATGATGATGATGATGATGATGATGATGATGATGATGATGATGCTGAAAATGATGATGATGATGATGATGATGATGATGATGATGATGATGATGATGATGATGATGATGATGATGATGATGATGATGATGATGATGATGATGATTATGCTGATGCTGATGATGAGGATGGTGATGGAAATCAGGAGAATTGGATAGATGATGGCGATGAAGATGCCGCCGCTGCTGCTGAGGGTGATGCTGGCGATGGTGGTGGTGGTGAGGAGGAGGAGGAGGAGGAGGAGGAGGAGGAGGACTGGCTACTCGCAGGTGCCCTTCATGTACTTTTTCTCCCGCGCCCTGCTCGAGAAGCCCCCCGACTGGGGCCCGCACATCGACGTCTGCGGCTTCCTCGACGACGGCGGGGAGGCGGCCAGCGGCGACGCCACTCGCCCGCCTGCCCTGGAGGCGCGCTTCCGCCTCGCCGCCGACTGCGATGGCGGCGACTAGTGCGACGGCGACGGCGGCGACGGCGGCGACACCGACGAAGACAAGCCCTTACATTCAACGTCTTGAAGAGCGTAAGGCGACAGGTTGGGTTTTTTGTTATAAACAGAAGAACTCCCGTCTGCCCAACCTGCATAGCGCGGTCGCCGGACCCCAAAAGACTCTGGAAGTCCTTGATAGTCCCGCCTCGTGGCTTCGACGAGAGACGACACCATATTGCGGTCGCCAGATCCCGCAGGTTCCAGGGAGTCCTTAAGTGTCCGGCCTCGCGTCCTCGACGATTGGCGTCACTCAGCATACCAGGCAGCCCCGATGGTGAGGCGTCACGGCTTCATGCCGTCCAGGCTTCACGACGCTTGAACAAAGAGGCGTGTCTATCCGACATCAAGAACACAGCAAACACGGACACAAATGCCAAACACAAATGATGGACGTTCGGAACATGCTTCGGTAACACGCACTCGTAACATCCACTAGCGGGAGGAGGAAGATGATGAGGCGAAGGAGGAGGAGGAGGAGGAGGAGGAGGATGAGGAGGGAGATGAGGAGGATGAGGAGCAGAATGAGGAGGATCATGAGGAGGAGCAGGAGCAGAAGCAGGAGTAGGTTTAGGAGGAGGAGGAAGAGGAAGAAGAGGAGGAAGATGAGGATGACGATGAAAAGGAGGATGAGTGGGAGGCGAAGGTGGAGGTGCAGGAGGAGGAGAAGGAGGAGGGTGAGGAGGTAGAGGAGGGGGAGGAGGGGCAGGAGAAGGAGGAGGAGGAGGAGGAGATGGATGAGGATTACCAAGCTCGCGATATGCTTTAAGGGTACGTAAACCCTTCTTTGAGGATTAAGCGGCTGTCGGAGAAATACTGGTGCCTTCGAACTTGAAGGAAAGTCCGAATCCAGTATTTGGCCAAGAGCAGGACCCATCCTCAAAGTCGGAGGCATGGCAGAAAGCTATCCACCAGTGGCTTGCGCTATGGGAGGTACTCATTGTCACCTTTTGCTTGCCAACGGGCGTGAGGGAACCGGTCCCGGTGATCCCTGCGATAGGTTTCGACCGTACTTCGGGGAGTACATCCTTGGGCACCTCCTTGGGTAAATCATTGGGAACTTCCTCAGGTACGTCCTTGGGTATCTCCTTGGGTACCGCCTTGGGTACCTTCTCGGGTACCTCCTCGTGTACCTCCTTGGGTACCTCCTTGGGTACCACCTTGGGTACCTCCTCGGGTGCCTCGTTGGATATTTGCTGGCCAGAGTGGGAGGAGGAGATGGATGCAGATGATGATTGTCGTGATTAACGTCGACGCTGTACTTTGCACGATGAGATGTGCTGTGCTCGTCCGTCGAGCATCTGGCGCCGGCCCGTGCCGGCGAGCGTGTCTGCCGCGCTCTCTGCACAAAAGAGGGGGCCCCCTCCTCGATCCCATACAGCCGCGGAGGCGGCGGCAAAGAGAGAGAGTGAGGAAGGAGAGGTTGACTCAAAACTTCGCTCGAGTCGCCTCGGCTCGACATGAGCCTAAAATCCTTCTCAACCGTTCCGACCGAACTGGATCAAAAGAGGGGCCCTGCACAGTACGAATATGAAAAGGAATGATGAGAAGAGCCCGACCCTATCCTCAAGATAGGTCGAGAAAAGCTAAAGCGTCGGCGGCCTCGGCTTCAGCGTCGGTAGATGCCTGCGGCTTGTCCTGAGCGAGTTTGTTGGCTCGCTGTCGCTTCCTGGCTGACATGAAATCCTCATCGTACCTGATGATCCAGGTACGCCGTGCAAGCCACAGAGCCAGAGGCTTCCTTGCCTCGGGACTGTCCTTCGTGAGGCCGTCGGTGAGATTGAGGTCCGAGGGGATCCAAACCAGATGCTGGTTCTTCTCGGGCCCGCAGTTCGCCTTCACATGTAGAACCTCCACGCCGGTCCTCGCATCGCTCAGGCCTATGCCGAAACTCTCCTTGTTGTGAACTGAATCATAAACTCCTCGGCTGTCGATCACCAGCACCGAGGTCATGGATCGCGCCACCTCCTCCTGAGTGTGCGCGGTGACTGGAACTCCGTGCATGACTGACCACAGCAGGCGCATCAGGTACGCCGCGTTCTCGCCGTCGTACAGAGCCTGTCCCTCGCAGCCGTTGGTGCCGATGCCGGTGCGCTTGAGCTTGTACGATCTCCAGTCGGCGATCGATACTGCACATTCCTTCTGCTTGAGGATCTCGGCCGTGGTGAACGCCACGATGTAGCCTCCTCGTTGTAGTAGTCTGCTTGCGTCGACCCACGTCACGATCACTAGGTCGTCCCACTTCAGCTTACCGCCACCGTTGCTATTGAAGTTGTGGAACACCAGGGAATCACGAGCTGTCCGCTTCACATCGCGTATGAGGGCGTTCGTGTCCTTCAGGTCTCCGAACGTCGCCTCGTTCACCCGTTGAGCCAACAGTGACACCCGACATGAGAACTGTGGTGCTGTCTGTGTCGCTCTCCATTGGCATTTCATCAGGCCTGCCCTGAACTGGGTGACGTCCTCCGGCTTGAGCTTGTCATCCTTCGAGAGGTACTTGCCGGACTCGACCCTGATCTCGAGGAGCTGGTGACAGAACTCCTCCTGGCTAGCATGGATCTTGCCCGATGGCTCCTGGGTGATCCACATGCCTGCCCACATGCATGGCGTGCTTCGCCATGGAGACCACCGCAGCATCTCCTTCAGCATGTTCTTCATGTCGAGGTAGAACTTGTTGTCGCTGTCGCCTGCGATGCCAAAGTCGTCCACGTGCGAGCCAATGACCCCGCACACGGTGCCGTTCTGGTCCTGAATGATCCAGATGCATGGCTCGATGAGGACGCTCTTGCCTCCTGCTTCGTGGATCTTGTGGTCCACGTACTTCCAGAAAACCCACGGCGCATTCGTGATCCCGTAGATCGCTGCCAAGACTCTCATGGACTCCTCCTCGTTGATCTGCAAGGCCTGCCGGAGCTCCTTCACGCCCTTCGTGTAGAGCTTCCTCCACTCCTCGGTGTGCCCGGCCTGCAGGAAGGCGGACTTCGCGTCGGCTAGCTCGAAGGTCCAGCCGTGGAAAGCAGCCATCTGGAGGAGTGCCAGCTTCCCTTTTCTTGAAATGGTTGGTGACGCCGTGGGAAGTACCCGATCTCCGAACTTGTCCCGACTGACAAGGTCTGGATGTGAGAAGCCCAACAGAATGATACGGGCCTTCGCCTTGAACTTCCCGTCCGGCGTGCTCACGGGGTGTGGGTCCGACTTGTCCGGTGGTTCAGGTGGTGTCAAAGGCTTCCAGGTCAGTAGCCACCTCATCTTGATCAGCTTGTCCGCTGGAATGTCTTTCCCATGATTGTAGTCAGCGTAAGCTGATGCAGCCCGGACTGTCGGTACTTCCAGATGTTCCGCCAGCTCCCGTGCCATTGCCTCTTGAAACAGTGGCCTCTCCTCGGGGCTCAGGCGGCCAAACGAAACCTCCACACCCTTCTTGACCGTGTTGTTGGCCACTCGGTTCAGCTGCTTCTCCAGATACGCGCTCGCATCGAAGCAGAACTCCTCAAGGTCCGTCTCGATCTCGATCTTCATCAGGTCCATCTCGGTTTCGTTATTCGGATCCTGCACGAAGTTGATGATGTCAGTCTCGCTGGCTTCCGCATGGTCGCTCGCCGTCTTGAAGAGGGCAGCGTGAGCAACTTCAGCTGAGGCTCTTGATGAAGATGATCTCCCAAAACGCGGTTGGAAAGCTTCAGTCGGTACAAGTGGCCATGACACAGTCGGTTGCTTGCCTCTCAATCTTGTTCGCTTAGTCTGTGGTGGCTCAGGTGCTGAGTTGTCCTCGTCGACCTCCAAGTCGTCATCTGCCTCCGTGACGTCGTGGGGTTCCACGGCCACATCGGGATTCTCGACCACCCTCGGCATGCCCTCAAGAGGTTGACGTGGTAGCATCCTCATGCCATCTGCCGTTGGGGAGGGCTCCCCGGCGATGTCGTCAAAGTCCTGGAGGTGTCTCCAGACATCCTCGAGCGGACTGTTGAGGATGTCGTCCTTCTTCAGGTTGATCTGGACGATCTCCGATTGCGTGGCTGGCCGCAGTTGCTCTGCTGCACAGCGCCAGCATCGGTTGCCCATGATGACCCAGATCACGCCGTCCTTGTTGCCTGTCTGGACCGCCGGCTCGGAGAACAGAACTCTGCCCGGTCCGATGAAGAGGCCGTCCGTGAAGAAATCCTGTCCGGAAAGCTTTCGCTTCCCAGTCGCAGCGTACGACCGCCAGACACAGACCCAGTCGCCTCGCTTATATTCATGTCGAGGTCGTGGGGCTGAGTTCTTCAGCTCAGAGATCTTCCTGGACGCCTTCTCCTTCAGGTAAGTCGCCTCTGCATCCGCTCGTACCCGCTCGATCTCGAAGAAGTCGGACTTCAACTTGCCAGTAGCTGCGTTATGCGCCAAGATTGGGTCCTCGGTGGGAGAGTACCCAAAAGCCCACTGCATCGGCGTGTAGCCCTTGATGTTGTCCATGTTGTTGGCCGCCGCAATCGAGATGTAGAACACGGTCTCGGGACTCAGCTTCGGGTATTGTAGGCGAAGCTTCCTCATTACCTGCTTGACGGTCGAGATGCGGCGCTCGATGTCGCCAGCCATCCAATGTGCTCCTCCTGGTTTCGCTGAGACGCCGATGCCGGCCAACTGGCAGTTGTCTTTAAACTCGCCACCCACAAAAGATGGCTGAGGATCGACGAAAACCCACCTTGGCTTGGGATAGTGTTGAAGGTAGGCTCTGGCAAACGTCGTGAACAGCGTAGCTGACGAATCCGTGCCCTTGTCTTTGAGGCCGATCTTCGCAGTGATGTCTCCACACATCAAGCCGGTGGCGACCTCTGCGATGAGAAGAAATCTGGCCTTCACATTCAAGTCTGGGAACGTCAGGTCGGAAACGTCCATGACGGCTGCCTGCCAAGGTGCCATGGGGATGTCGAGGCTCGCCTTGAC